AAATGGATATTTATAGGAGGTGTTTTTGTGTTCCTAAGTTTCTTCAGAGAATGAATGTTATGTCTGTTCAGTTATTTTCTTCATGTCTCACCGTACTGAGCCTTAAGATTGCCACACTGGCCTTTTCAAACACAACAGAATAAAATGAAGAAGGAAATACAAGTGGATTGAACATATAATAAGAGAACATCCTAAGGAATGACCTGTTTTCCTTAATTTGTCACTAGCTTCCGATGTCAATCAGTTACATTCAGGACCGGCTTTAGGCACCAGCAAACCATGCACGTGCTTGGGGCAGCACAATTTAAGGGGCGGCATTCCGGGCTCTCTCTGAGTTTTTTTGTGGGGAGGGGAGGACGCAGCAAAAAACTTAGAGCCAGTCCTGGTTACATTAATTGAACCAACTTCTGTTGGTGAGAAAGACAAGCTTTCAAGCTTTTCTCTCTCACCAACAGAAGTTGGTCCAATAAAAGATATTACTTCACCCATCTTGTCTCTCTAATATCCTGGGACCAGCATGGCTACAACAACTGCACAGTTGCATTAATGAAAGATACAGAATGGAAAAGAAAATACATCTAGAAGGACCACACTATCTAATCAGAGATTTTTAGCATAAAATCTAGCTCAGTGCCCAATATTTTCAGAGTTCAGGGAAGGTTAACTCTAGGCTCATCTGTATACATGATCCCCTTTGTCATGTTAAGTAGTACTTTATTCCTGGAGCAGGCCCATTGAAGTCAATCAGACTGATTGAGGAGTAAGATACTATTTTCTGTAATTGAGGACATCAGATTCTGATCCATAAGGAGTAATGAATAGAGGTTCAATACTGTTTTATCATTCACACTGAACCTCCTATAAGATACCTTAATCAGTAATACATTTCAGGGCCCTGGAGAGTTGACTCATGATTTTATTAGTATAGGTGCAAGGATCACTATTTGAAACTGATTACTTCTGTCACTCATGTTGCAAATGACAATGTTGCTATATTACATGACCTGATTAGATCAACCTTTTTATAAATTACATACCCAAAAAACTACGTTAAAAGAATGTTAAGACAAGCACTCAAAAGATAGGAAACGCCAGAATTACAGTTGCCCATGCAACTTTTTTAATTCAGCCCTATTTTGTGTATGATACAGTCTTTAATTGCATAACCACATACTATTTTTTCCATAGGCTTCCTGCACAGTCAGTGAACAAGTAGTTGTTCAATTTATTTTTATCCTTGCCATCTGGTGTATACCCCTACACTGTATACAAAATCATTAATTTCCTCATGGGTGTTTCTATGGCAGTGATCTCCAACCTTTTTACGCCCAAGATCACTTTTTGAATTTAAGGGCAACCCAGGATCTACCCTGCCCCCTCCCGAGGCCCCACAACTTCCCCAAAGCCCCACTCCACCCTCCCCTCCCTGTCGCTCACTCTTCCCCCACCCTCACTCACTTTCACTGGGCTAGGGTAGGAGATTGGGGTTTGGGAGGGGATGTGAGCTCTGGGCTGGGGCTGAGGGGTTCGCAGTGTGGGAGGGGGCTCCAGGTCTGGGACAAAGGGTTGGGGTGCAAGTTCTGGGAGGGAGTTTGGGTGCAGGAGGAGGCTCCAGGCTGGGGCACATTGTTGGGGTGCAGAAGCGGGTGTGGGCTCTGGAAGGGAGTTTGGGTGCAGGAGGGGGCTCCAGGCTATGGCAGAATGTTGGGGTGCAGGAGGGGGTGCATGGTGCTGGCTCTGGGAGGGGGCTCAGGGCTGGGGCTTGGGGTGAAAGAGGAGGTTCGGGGTGCAGGAGGGGATATGGGGTGCTAGCTATGGGAGGGGGCTCAGGGCTGGGGTAGGGGTGCTGGCTCTGGGAGGGGGCTCAGGGCTGGGGGTTGGGGTGCTGCTTCCTGCCAGGCGGCATGTACCTTGGGTGGCTCCCAGTCGGCGGTGCAACGAGGCTAAGGCACAGCCCCATGCCGCTCCCAGAAGGGGCCAACGCGCCCCTGGGGGGGAGGCACATGGCTCTGCACGCTGCTCCTCTCTGCAAGCACCACCCCCACAGCTCCCATTGGCCACAGTTCCCCGTTCCCAGCCAATGGGCACTTCGGGGGTGGTGCTTGCAGGCAGGAGCAGTGCGCAGAGGGCAACCCCTGCCCCCCCTCCCCGCCCCCGGGGCTGTGCTGGTTGCTTCCGGGAGCGATGTGGGGCCAGGGCAGGCAGGAAGCCTGCCTTAGCAGCAGCCCCGCTACACTACCGGAGATTGCGATCAACTGGGAGATTCTCTAGGATTGACCAGTCAATCATGATCGATCTGTTGGTGACACTGTTCTATGGCCAGACATTAATAAAGTTATCACCAAAACAATCTCTGTGAGATTAGGTGATATTATAACCCATTTTAAAACCCAAAGAAATCTGTTTTACCCTGTATAAAGCTTATGCAGGGTAAATTCATAAATTGTTCGCCCTCTATAACACTGATAGAGAGATATGCACAGTAGTTTGCTCCCCCAGGTATTAATACATAATCTGAGTTAATTAATAAGTAAAAAGTGATTTTATTAAATACAGAAAGTAGGATTTAAGTGGTTCCAAGTAGTAACAGACAGAACAAAGTAAGTCACCAAGCAAAATAAAATAAAATGCGCAAATCTATGTCTAATCAAACTAAATACAGATAAGATCCTCACCAGTTCCAGAATGCTCCCTTTTACAGACTAATCTTCTTTTAGCCTGGGTCCAGCAATCACTCACACCCCCTGTAGTTACTGTCCTTTGTTCCAGTTTCCTTCAAGTATCCTGGGGGGTGGAGAGGCTCCTTCTTTAGCCAGCTGAAGACAAAATGGAGGGGTCTCCCACGGGTTTAAATAGACTTTCTTTTGTGGGTGGAGACCCCCCTCTTCACTCCTATGCAAAGTCCAGCTCCAAGATGGAGTTCTGGAGTCACCTGGGCAAGTCACATGTCCATGCATGACTCACAGTCTTTACAGGTAGCATTCATTGTTCACATGCTACCTTGAACGTCCTCAAGTAGACTTCTTATGTGGATTGGAGCATTCCAAGATCCATTGTCCTTTAAGTGTTTCTTGATTAGGTACGTAATTTCAACATTCCTTTCTCCAGGAACTGACCAAATGCTCTACTAAGGTTATTTAGAAATCAAGTCAGTACACAGCCAACATTCATAACATCGAATACAAAAATGATACATGCATGCAAATAGTATTAATACATTCAGTAGATCATAACCTTTACAGAGATATGTTACATGGCATATGTAGCATAAAACACATTCTAAGCATATTTCCATAGAGCCTTATGGGAGGTACCATCAAACCCTCATTAACTCCAAAACTTTGATTCATTGCTGGAACACAGTCCATCCTGTACTCTGAATGAGGCAGAGTACATATGCACAAGGGGGACAAATTAAGGTTGTAAAGGCAACCTTAATTCTAGCATTTCCTAAGTTTTGAACACTTGACTTTGCACCTTTATATTATTTTAACATAGGAAATTACATTTAAAAAGACTAAATTTTTGAAAAGTAAACTAAAAAGAATTCTATCATATGGAATCATATTTACTTCCACATGATTCATCAGTAGGATCTGCTATACAGATCTACCACCGGAACTAACAGAGTATCTGGGAGGACTAGAGGGAGATGAGACTTATTTTGGTAGTGGGTATCTCTGTGACTCACAGCTATTTGCTAGACAGAAAAGGAATGTTTAGATTAATGAATCCTGATTCAGTTTAGGGTGACCAGGTGTCATGATTTTTTAGGGACAGTCCTGATATTTGAGGCTTTGTCTTATATAGGTGCCTATTACCTCCTACCCCCTGTCCCAATTTTTCACACTTGCTGTCTGATCACCTTAGTTCAGTTCCAAATTCTGTAGAGGAGGTGGTCTAGTGGTCACAGATCTTTCCATTCCTGCCCTGAGCCTATCCCTGTCCTGTTCCTATCTCTCTCCCCCAGCTCCTGTTCATTTCCTCCTCTGCAGTGCCTGTTCTTGTCACCCTAGGCTTTTGCTTCCAATCCTCTGATTCTTGTCCCAGTCTCTGTCCCTCTCTACACCTATCCTCCAAGTATCTGTCACTCTCTGCTCCTATCGTATCCTATTTTTTCAAGTCAGACTGTTACCCCTTCCACCATACAGCCAGGACACCAGGAGAGGGAGCACTGAAAGCTTAAAAGAGACTGTCTCCATCCTCTCAGTTCTGGTACCGGCTGCCACAGCAGACCTTGATAGCCAAGAGAAGCAATTGCAGCGAAAGTTCTTCTTAGCCCCAGCAGCTCTGGGTTGGAGCAAGTTTAGGTGTTCTATGCAGTTGGAGTATGTTCAGTCCAGCTAGTATGTAGGCGTTGCGGGGAGGGGGACGGGGTGCGGGCGGAACATGTTCAGTGCAGACAAAATCTTCAGCAAGTAATGCTGCCAGCCTATAACAAACCTCTACAGAGCATGTGTGAACTACATCTCTGAGGCATATAAATTGAGCTGGATTTTTACATAATATATATGGAGAGAGCAAAAGGCACATCCCTGACACTAGGGCAATCTCCTGCCAAATTGCAAGTCCCTGCTCTAAAGCAAGGAGGTGGTAGAGCTTCTCACTGAAACAATTGTAAGAATTTTTTTAACATGGGCAAAACATTGTCTTTTCCCTAACCTTATTCTTGGAATGGGCTAAGCTACTTTTGCTGAGACTGTCACAAAAAATTTAATCTGAGGCAGACACCCAGCATGGAAAATTCCAATCCAACAGTTTAAATTTGGAAAAGTTACAAGCACCTGTAAACAGGGTGTTATAATGGAAAGTGTTAGGCAACTTTAACTATAGATGTCACTGCTAGCTCCATCTAAAGTTAGTAGCAATTGGGGTTGGGTTTTTGCTTATTAACAGAATACTCTGGTTTTTTTTGTATAGCTTGAAATTAGGGAGAAGTTGGGATGATAAAGAGTACACATGGCGTGCAACTTTATAGTGTAAAGTGAAAAGCTCCACCAGGAGGAAAATGATCCTCTTCATCAGCAAATTGTGTTTCTTCATTGTTCTGAATGGAGAATTGGAAAAACAGAAGTGCTTCAAAACATTGAAATGATTAATCACTGATAAGTAAGGCTATGTTTTAGTCATGGGTATTTTTAGTAAAAGTCATGGACAGGTCATGGGCCATAAACCAAAATTCACGGACCCGTGACCTGTCCATGACTTTTACCCAAATGCCCTCCCTGACTAAAACTTGGGTGGGGGACTGCAGGTGCTCTGGGGGGTGGTGGTCTGGGGGCACCGCGGGTGCTGGGGGAGGTGACCCAGGACCCTCACTGGTGCTGAGGGGCGGGGGTTTGGCGGGGTTGGTGGGACTTCCTATCTGGCTTCACATCCCTGCAGCTCCTAGGCAGTGGAGGCAGGGGTCAGGGCAGGGGCTCCACTGCTCCTGCCACAAGCGCCGGCTGCCACAGTTCCCATTGATTGGTAACCGCAGCCAATGGGAGCTGGGGGTGGGGCCTGCGGGCGCAGGCAGCATGCGGCGTGGAGACCCAGCCTGGTCCCTCCACTGCCTAGGAGCTGCAGGGGGGGCATGCTAGTGGAGCTGGGGAGCCCCCTACCCCTAGGTAAGTGCCCCTCCAACCCCCTGCCCCTAGCCCTGAGCTCCCTCCTACACACCTCCCTCCCACAAACCGCTGCTGCTGGCCCAGGGGTTGCCCAGCTCGGGCAACCCCTGAGCCAGCAGCAGCCGTTGCAGAAGTCACGGAGGTCACAGAAAGTCACAGAATCCGTGACAGACTCACAGCCTTACTGATAAGTACTAATTATCTGATTGAATACATTCTTTCTAACACTATGAAAAGGTGAGGAGGAGAGTATGAAACATCAAACACTGGATGTATGATTAAGGAAAATATAATTTCTGTTTCTTAATGATTGAAGCGGAAATTGGCAGCTGTGGTTAGGAACATAGTGCACATTTATCCCTATGGAAAACATGCCACTTCAATTCAGTGTCAGATAACAATATGCCAAATATAAAGAGGGATTTTCATCTGGCAGTTTCCCAAATACTTACCGATACTTCTCACTATATTATTAGGAACGCAATACTTATGCTAGCTGGTTGCTGAAATGTTTATGAACAAACTTTAAGAAGAAACTGAAGTATATTTTCAGAGTATAATTTTCTATATAAAATGCACTATTTGTACATTGCTTTCTCTAATTATTCCTGTGATTTTTTGCATACATTCAAATTTCTTCAGAAAAAAACATAAAACTCTGCTCTCTTTAAGATAAAATTAAAAGCACATGCAGAGAAAGGGCTTGATATTTATTCTCAAACAGACATTCTCCTCCCACCCCTCTTTCCACAGAGGTTTCTTCACACATGAGATTTCAGAATAGGGTTGCCAGGTGTCCAGTTTTCGACCGGAAAACCCGGTCAAAAAGGGACCCTGGTGGCTCCGGTCAGAACCACTGACTGGGCAGTTAAAAGTCTGGTTAGCGGCACAGCACAGCTAGCAGGATCCCTGCCCGGCTCCGCGCAGCTCCCGGGAAGCGGCCAGCATGTCCCTCCGGCTCGGGGGCAGCCACAGGGGCTCCACGCGCTGCCCCCATCTGGAGCGCTGGCTCTACAGATCCCATTGGCCGGGAACCATGGCCAATGGGACCTGCGGGGGGTGGCGCCTGGGGGCAGGGGCAGCGTGCAGAGCCTCCTGGCTGTGCCTCTGCCTAGGAGTTGGAGGGACACCCCAGCCTAGAGCCCATATCCCCCCCATTCCCCAACCCCCTGCCTCAACCTGGAGCCCCCTCCTGCACTCCACTCCCTTCATCCCCGGTCCCACCCCAGAGCCGGCACCCCCAGCCGGAGCCCTCACCTCCTCCCACATCCCATCACACTGCCCCAGCCCAGTGAAAATGAGCAAGTGAGTGAGGGTGGGGGAGAGTGAGTGATGGTCGTGGGGGGATGGAGTGAGCAGGGGTGGGGCCTCAGAGAAGGAGCAGGACATGGGCGGGGCCTCAGGGAAGGGGTGGGGCAAATGCATTTGGTTTTCTGCCATTAGAAAATTGGCAGCCCTATTTCAGAAGCCACTACACTTTTCACTTTAACAACTTAGTCCGGGAGCTAGGTAGTACGGTAGATACATTATTTTGCCATTTTTCGTCTGGAAATATGCATTGAAATCCTATTTTGAGTTGCACATGACAATGTGTTTGGTGGTTCTGCCGAAGGGCCTGATCCAAAGGTCACTGAAGTCAGTGGGGGTCTCTACACTGAATTGAGTGGGCTTTGGATCATGCCATTAGTCCCTCCCCTACATTTGCCACCATTCTAAAATTCATACAGAATTCTGCATGATTTGTAAGTGTTGTGAAAAAGAGCCAGGAATGGAATAGACAGGGTGTTTCAGTTTTAAGATTAATATAGCTTGGCAGATCATATGAGGAAGTTCACACATACTACAGTGTGACAGATTCCAGTCAGTGGTATTAGTCTCTCCATATTATGTGCATCAAATTAGAGCAAATTAAAGGAGTAACCTGACCTGATATCTTTAACAAAAGGCCTTTGTTAAAATTTCTGAAAGAGTAGGAAGTTACAGTATATATTTGGGTTGATAATTTCATACCACATTTCAAGATATTAATTCATTTTTTATTCAAAAATTTACAAAGAGAAAGTAGGGTGAGATCCTCAGCTGTTCTGTCCTCGTATGTTATTTTTGGATTGTGTCTCTCAGAAAAATCTTGAACTATCCTGCTGCTCTTCAGTTTGTCTCATATTGTGAAGTCATTGCTTCCTCGTGAGCAGTTACTCACACTAATGGAACTGCTGATCAGTGTGAGTAATGGGTTTACAGTATATGAGCAAATCAGTTCTCTGAAGAATGTAAGGAATGTGTTAAAACAGGTCAAGATGTAAATTTGCCACATCATCGATATAAAATAACATGGTACAGCATAATAAAAATGTGTATCATAGACATTAGAGATAGAAAAGACTTATTAGCTCATCTAGTTTCTCTCTCTGCCAGTGCAGAATTATTCCCTATAGTATATTTACTGGGGTTTTGTCCTGTGAATTTTTAAATATTCTGTGCAACAGATCTAACCGCAAAAGCAACGTGGGATTTGTTTCTCCTGTCAGCTATTTGATATTATTTCAGTTAACAGTTATGTAAACCATACATACTAGATGCATAGCAGGTACTTTGGAGCAGCATGTCACTATTCCTGTCATTCCTGAATTAAAGAGACACTAAACTGGTATGGCCCAAATTTATTCTACTTTTCATTTTCTTATCTGTTTGCAAAATCCATGTATTTCAGAAAAAATGCTTTACTGTTAGGATATGTTTTTGTTAGAAAAACCTATGGCAGCAGTCTAATGTCCTAGAAATCTAACAATAATAAATAAATGTACATGAGGAAAAGAGAGAACATATCTGGGGGGAAAATTGATTTCATATTCAAGGATACAAAAAGCTTGTGTTGGCAACACTGAGTAACAAAAGAATCTTAAAATAATATTTTTGACAGTGTTTTTTAATAAGTAAAAATAGAAATAACTAGACAAATAAAAATGCAAATTCTGGAACGAAATAGACCTTTTAAATGAAAGAATCTTGGAAACTGTGAATGTCAGAAACTGTATTTGTGGATATTCCGCTCCAGTTGAATACCATCAGGTCAGCACGAGCTGTAGTGAACTCAATACTATGTACAGTATAAATAATCCTCATATTTTGAGCAGCAAGCATCATGACCAGCTGATATTTTCTTTCCTCGGGACCAGCTGTTCCTGGCACTGAGGAGTGCCTAACTGGAGCCATATGATCTTATCAACACATTTGAGAATTGTACCGAAACACTGACAAACACTCTGGTGCAGCAATGACTGTCATAGAGGAAAATCGCCCTTTTGCCCAGCAACTATCCAATGTCTACTTTACTATACTTTCACTTTTTTGTTTTAAACTTTTTGTGAAAATCAGCCTTGCCATCCTCAGTCACTTCTACATTGTAAAAGGGAACCGTAAGGAAGCAGCAAGGATAGCTGATGAATTTTATGGAATTCCTCAAGGGCAAGGTATGTGTGTACTTATTGCTGTATCTTAGTTTACTGCCATTGGTTTATTCTTGTTGTAGTTAATTATTTAACTGCTCGTGATTTAAAAAAATATTTCCATTAAGCCAAGTTGTGTGTGATTCCCTCCCCCCCCCCCCAACATAAGATAGCTCGTATTACAACAGTATTAGTTTGTTTATACTGGGCCATATTCTTCCATCTTTACCTTAAGTAGAATTTTTCTCCATGAAAAGCTCCACACATTATGAGTATGGGTAGCAGAATCTGTTCTATTATGATCAGAAAATCTAATTGTTAGCTCTCTTTATATCTTTGATATAGTTTATAACAAAAAATGTATAAGGAGGAAAGCTCCAGAGAAACATATCTATTAGAAAACATGGTTTATAAGTTGTAGATTAATGTGAGGTACTGTATAAAACTGAATTATTATAGGCAGCATTGCTAGTGACTCCTATAGTTAAAGACTGCCTAACACTTTCTATTATAAGACCTTACTTTCAGTTGCATACATGCTCCTAAACTTCAACTATTGAGCTTAAATTTTCTATGCCAGGAGTCTGACTCAGGAAGAGTTTTTTAGAACATTTCAACAAAATCAGTTCATACATTTCTGAGAACAAAAATAAGGAAAAATATGTTGCTTTGCCCATGTTAAAATTATTACAACCATTTAGTTGAGACGCTCTAGAATCTTCATGCTTTAGAATAGGGACTTGAAATTTGGCAGGAAGGTCACCCAGGTGTCAGAGATGGGCTTTTTGGCATCCTCATAGAAATCCACCCACATTTGGTCAAGTTGTAAGCCTCTGAAAATTACAGTGTGCATGTGCTCAAGCAGACCTGTGTTAGTTTGGCAGCATTATTCTCCAAAGAGTCCATCTGTTCTAAGCATGTTCTATCTCCACATTGTTTCTATGCATATGCAGCATCCCTACAGAGTGAATGAGCATGCTCCTGCTCAGCTCAGGACTTCTGGGATGAAGTTTCCCTCCAATGCTCCTATGTCTGTCTGGGGTCACTCCTAGCACCCATGTAGCATGGAGGAAAAGGAATTGAATCCAGTGGGATGAGGAGCTTGTGAGGGAGACTGAAACAGGAGCTGGTGAGAGGGGACTGGGACAGGCTGGAGTGCATAGGGGTAGAAGGAATCAGGCTTGGAGGAATAGGGTAAGAATATTTAACCATTATAGCACACTCCCCTACAGAATCTGGAAATGAACCCTAGAGTCCTGAGTCTTATTTTTCCTTTGCTATAAGCAAACATCTGTGAAATCGGCTGGCAAAATATGGGTTTCATCTTCCTATATGGCTGGTCCATAGAGGATAAGGATTACTACTGCTGAAACTGACTGTTAGCTCAAGAGGCAAAGAGGTCTGTCCTGATGTAAAGATCCCAGTTCTGCAGGTGACTCCTGGGGGTGGGGGTGTCAATATGGTTCTACGTGATGGAATTTCTATTTTTCAGTTTATTTTTTTATATGTCACTAGTTGATGGACCAAAAAAAAAAGGCCTGAAGGAACATGTATATTTAAGGTTAAGGATGATTATGTCCTTAATTCACATTGTTGCACTGAGCAGTTATTTTATATAACACTGATTTTTATTAAGAACAATATGTCATCCTTAACTTTGGATTTCTTAGCTCTTGTCTGCAACACAACTTAGCTGTGATTTTAGGTTGATTTAAAAAAATAATAATTTCCAGGAGGTTGGTGGGGGAGAATGTGAATTCTGTAATTTAAGTTTAATGATGTTAAATTTGGCGAAAGTGGATTTGTTTTAATGAAAGGAGATAGATGGTGAGGGGCTGTGGTAAAGAGAGCGGGTCTCTTGTTAAAAAAATGGAAGGTAGTCTCTGAGTTAAAAATAACAAATGTGTAACGTATGTTGCTTTGGGACTTCTGGGCTTCATCTGGGTGCTCAGCATCAGAGTTTCAAAAAAATAAATATGTATGTATAAACTACAATAGTCACAGACTGAACAAATGTCTATTTCTAGAAGTCAAATGTGAATAAGAAATTAAAAATACTTTTTTCTGAGTCATCCATTTTAAATAGCAAAGTTCATGTCTTAAAATAAGATTTAAGAGCCTAGTTCTGTTCCCAGTGAAGTTAATGGTAAAACTCCCATTTCAAAAAATGGCTTCAATGAGAGAAGGATCAGGTCTATTATAAAGTTCCCATTAATGGGATTATTCTTTAACTTTGGTCCTGATCATGAAAACACTCATATACTTACTTTATACTCATAGTTGTCCCATTGAACTCAATGGGACTGCTCAGGTATGTAGCACTAACTAGTTAAGTGTTTGCAGGGCCAAGGCCTATACGTTTAGATGATTACGCCTAGTTTTCCTCTTCCTCATGCTGAAGTGTACCTAAGGTTGGTTATTTTTCATGGCAAAAAATGTGTAAAGTCATGAGTCTAGTTACAAAAGAAAAGGAAAAGTCATAGCACACAAAGTTTTATCCCATTTTAAAATCTCATATTCCACCAAATTGACATAATTGAGCCACTTTTGTATAATAATAATCATGGGAAAAGTACTGCTCATTAGTGGACTGCCATGACTTTTTATGAAAAATACTAATTCATGACTTTCTTTCAAGAAGGACGTGGGTGTCACTAATATGCGACCTCAGTTACCTTGTGTGTAGATATTGTTGCTCCTTTGGCTTTAACAGTTGCCAGTATTTGGGACCTTGCAGGATTATTTCTAAGAGGAAAAAATGATGATAGAAGTCAGGTATACTCTTGGTGCAATCCTGTTTATTTACAAAAAATATATATTGTGACAAAGTTCCTCCTCTAGCTTGGTGGGTCCTGCACTTATTGGCGGATTTACTCACCTCAGAGATTCACCTTGTGGGTCGGGAAACAGCTCAGAGACCTTCCCCTCTGGTAGAAGCCACAGTCCAGATCAATTCCTCCTGTGTCTGATCAGGAGCTGGGAGGTTTGGGGGGGAACCCGGGCCCACCCTCTACTCCAGGTTCCAGCCCAGGGCCCTGTGGACTGCAGCTGTCTAGAGTGCCTCCTGGTACAGCTGCACCACAGCTACAATTCCCTGGGCTACTTCCCCAGAGCCTCCTCCCAACACCTTCTTTATACTCACCACAGGACCTTTCTCCTGGAGTCTGATAATACTTGTGCTCTTCAATCCTCAAGCAATACACCTTCCCACTCTCAACTCCTAGTGCCTCTTGCTCCCAGCTCCTCACATGCACACTACAAACTGAAGTGAGGTCCTTTTTAACTCAGGTGCCCTAATTAGACAGCCTGTTCTTACTGATTATAGCAGTTTCTTCTTAATTGGCTCCAGGTGTCCTAATTAGCCTGCCTGCCTTAATTGGTTCCAGCAAGTTCCTGCTTGTTCTGGAACTGCCCCTGTTCCCTTACCCAGAGAAAAGGGATCTACTTAATCTGGGACTAATATATCTGCCTTCTAACACTCTCCTGTAACCATCTGGCCTGACCCTGTCACAATATATAAAGTCCTGTTTTCCTAAACACAATACAAGCAAACAGCAGCAACAGCAGTCAGCCTCTCCAGTCAATTTTATGCCCTGAGGAGTTCTGTCTCTCTGCATTTTCTCAGGGCCATATTTAAGCTAGATCTACACTAGAAAGTTAGGTAGAAGGATGCCGCCTTATGTTGACCTGTTAATATATGTGTCTACACTACCAGGCCCTTTACACCAACCTAAGTCACCTCTAATGTTGACTTCTGTAATCCACCTCTGTGAGAGCATAGCACTTAATTCGATTTTCATGGGTAGACTGCGAGGTAGTGCAGATGCAGTGTGCACCTTAATTGGCCTCCAGGTGGTGTCCGACAATGCTCATCTGTGACCACTCTGGAGATCAGTCTCAACTCTGCTGCACTGAAGCCAGATACACAGGAAACAGCCCCTCCCCTGCTAAAGCCCCAAGAA